GGTCCAACTTGAGACACTCCAACCTCAACTTCCCAGAGTCCTGGGATATTAAGTGTGCACCATCATGCCCATCTAATCCCTTGGTAATTGCTGAGGAAAGAACTTCAGAGTGAAGTCACCGTCATACAGCTCTCTGCAGGAAAAGCAGTCAGGGCAGAAGGCACAGCATGGTCTGAGTCCGGACTAGGCCCTGGCCCAGAGAAGCAGCAAGGGGTGGTGTGTGCGTGCCTGCAGGTCAGAGGATCCAGGAAGGCCCAGGATCTGAAGTGCTGAAGGTAGAGATCTCTCTGGTCATGTGGGAACGCTTAGAAGGCAAGGTGGTGAATGCAGTGTAGGGGCCACAAGTGAACTGTTGAGGGTTGAGGTAGCGTGATCTGGAGCCCTCACCTGCAGGCATCCGTCCCTGGCAACCCTTCTGCCTCTGGCTGCTTCTCCCATGTGAGGCCAGGCAGCCAAGTCCCTGCTCCCCATCTGCTCAGGAATCCCCACATCGTCCTCAACATTGACCTGGCCCCCACCATCCTGGACATCGCCGGCCTGGACATCCCCACCGACATGGATGGGAAATCCATCCTCAAGCTGCTGGACATGGAGCGGCCTGTGAACCGGTAAGGGGGTGGAGCAGGTCCAGGACATGGACCCTGGGCTCCCAAATCTGTAGACATCTAGGTCTGGAAGTCCCCAAGAGTTGGAGGTAGAGTTTGAGGGCCAGCCCCATGCTGACCACTGACCTGCAATGGAGAGGGGAAAGGGACCCTCTCTAAGACAGAGCTTCCACCGGGACTGGAGGACCCTGTGAGAGCTAAGCTCATGCAAAGCCTGAGGTAACAGGGCCTGGGAGATAGCTCAGCGGCATAAGCGCCTGCCTGTAAAGCCCAGGCAGGCAATGGATCCCTTGTTATGCCTGGGGCCTTGTTAGAAGTGCTTTGCAGGGGATGCTATCATTTCCCTTACTCACAGTAACTTAGCAGGGTAGGAATTTGGATTATCTCCATCTTACCAGCTGGGAATCTGAATCCCAGAGAGGTCCAGTGACTTGCCAAGACATCTGGACACAGCTCTAGGAATTCAGACTGTTGCTGTGTCATGTGGCCATGAGGGGAATGTCTTCCTAGGTGTCCTAGGTGGCAGAAGGGAACTGAAGTGATCAGAACAGGTAGGAGGAAGGGGCGAGTTGAGCCACTGTGGGGAAAGGCAGACAGGAGCGACACCTTGTGGCCAGTGCTGAAATTGCCCTCGAGGCTGCTGGTCCCAAGTGTACCTCAACCGCCTTCCCTGAGGGTTGCGAATCGGGTCACATTGGACTGCCTCCTTCCAAATGGAGGCCAGACAAGCCAGAAGAGTATAACTGGGGGCAAGCCCCCAGCACAGGGTACGGAGTGTTAACATACTCTTAGCCTGTGTGCCCATTTAGGACATGGAAAGGGCAACGTGGCACTATACGAAGTACACACTCCAGGACCACAGTTGCAACTGCAATGAAGCAGAGGAAAACTGTGAAACGTAATTAACTGGAAGTCCACAGCACCTTGGCACCCTGCCGGCACGGGGGACACAACTGAAGCTTCAGACCCAAGTCTTGGGGCACGGGCCATGCATATGATGCCTGCCCAGCCTGGCTCTAGGAACAGCCCCTCACCAGGAGGCGGCTGTTGGGCAGGGATCCCAGGTAAGAAGCTGGAGCTCGCTTGTTTTCCAGGTTTCACTTGAAAAAGAAGATGAGGGTCTGGCGGGACTCCTTCCTGGTGGAGAGAGGGTGAGTTCTGGGGCATGAAGGTCTCATGGGGGAGGGGGCCTGACGACCTAGAGGCTGTATCCAAAGCCTGTGACACAGTGCCTGTGGTTGATGCAGTTTGCATCTAGGGGCATATTTACCCTCTGACATCATCCTGGATAATGTCATTGTTTGTTCATTTATTGCCAATTCAAGCCTTTCAGGAGGATTCCCATAAAATCCCAATTTCTAACTCTTCTAGAACTCAGGGCCTGGGAGACAGCTTAGTGGCACAAGCGCCTGACTGGCATGCGCAAGATCCCGAGTTTGATCCCCCGTGCCACAAAATAAATAAAAACTCAGCACCTCTGGTCAGCTGGCCCCTCATCCTCTGAAGTGAGGGCAAATCGCCACCCCAGGGCTCTTCCAGAGCTCAGGCCCTGCCCCACCCCACAGTAAACTGCTCCACAAGAGGGACAGCAGCAAGATGGATGCCCAGGAGGAGAACTTCCTGCCCAAGTTCCAGCGCGTGAAGGACCTGTGTCAGCGCGCCGAGTACCAGACAGCTTGCGAGCAGCTGGGCCAGGTCAGGAGCCTAGCGCCACCCTGCCACCCTTCCCGCTTCAGGGCCTGCATGCGACTCCAACATGCCAATGCACAGTGCACTGTGACGCTCACAGTGGGCAGTCCCCTGGTGGTGTCAGAGAAGAGTGTCCTGCTGTGGCATGGGTGTGACCTGGGTTCCTCACTGGCCCAATTCTAGCACAAGGGTCCCAGCAGGCAGCCACAGGGTATTAACTTTACTTTCAGCATCTTCACTTTTATCTTTGAGACTGGTCTTCCTTTTAATAGTAATAGAAAATGATTTTTTAAAAAGTGAATTGACTGTAGAACTAAAGTAGGATTCAGACATGGCAGGAGCTGACTGCTTTTCTGAGGCCTGGAAGGTTGAGGGGGGTTCAGAAGGGAAAGGGGGGTGGGAGACTGTAAATGGTTCCAAGGCTCAGGTGGCAAAGGAGCAGGGGAGGGGTGGGAGCAGGCTGGGGCAGGCAGGTGGGCAGGAGGGGATATGCCCACCTCCCTGAGGGGCAGGAAGCCATGAGCATGACATTGGTCACCAGGTGAGATGGGACTAGTGAGAAGGTGGGCATGGTAAGCGGACCTTGAAGAGCAGGTGGGGACAGCTCCATCACAACTCCAGCTCCTCCTAGTTCTGACCAGGCCAAGTGCCTCTGTGCCTCATTTGAACAGGGCATGGTGACAGCACTTGCCTGGCAGGATAGAGCAAGTAGCATTTAACATGTTAGTGCCCATCACCCATGTTTAGTGCCCACCACAGGGAACAGATCCAGTTCACATCCTGGGACGCTCACGCAAGCATAGAACAGGTCCTCCATGGGTCAAAGCAGGCAAAAACAGTAAGGAAGAGAATCCTGCTGCAGGACCCTGTAGGGGGTCCAGTAGTTTGGAACTTGGCAAGACAATCAATACTAGGGAGATCTAGGACGTGACTGTGTAGTTACCTTCTGACCAAATGCTCTAACTCAGATGTGTACATGTACACTCTGACTCCCTGTATGGACCTACTCCTTGGTGAGAGGGGAAGGGATGTTTAAATGTGATGATCAGGGAAGGCAGAGGCCAGACTGTCCAGGGGACAGAAGATGGGAACCAGGTGCTTGGCTCTCTTCCTAAGGACAGCAGCTCTTGGAAGGCTTTAAATAAGAGAGTACTCTGACCTGCCCTTGTTACACTCCTTCAGCTGTCCTAGGAGCAGACAGAAGCAGCTAAACCAGGGGGTGGAGGCTATAGCAGGTAGGCCTGCCACGAGATACATGCAGTGACAGTGGAGAGGAGCGGACATGTGGAGGCCACAGGGTGGGTAGGGCCTGGCAAAGGCTGGATGTAGGCAGAGAGAGGAATCCCTGGGTTTGGAACAAAAGGCGACCAAGGCTGTGGCCCCTGAGATGCTGATGTGCCTTGCAGAAGTGGCAGTGTGTGGAGGACGCCTCAGGGAAGCTGAAGCTACACAAGTGCAAGGGCCCTGTTCGACTCGGCAGCAGCGACAGAGCCCTTTCCAACCTGGTGCCCAAATACTACGGGCAGGGGAGCGAAGCTTGCACCTGTGACCGTGGCGACTACAAGCTGGGCCTGGCCAGTCGCCGGAAGAAGCTCTTCAAAAAGAGTAAGTGTCATAGCTTGGGCAGAAGTGAACAGGAGGAGTACGCCCTGGGGCGTCCCATTTGCTCCAAGGATTCCAAAGGCATTTGCCTCTTTTATCTGGGATCATTCTAGGAGCCAGAGACACAGCCAAAGTCCTCTAGAGCCACCCATTCCAAGGGGACAGTAGTGACCACACACATGAGGGCTGCTGCAAAAAGTGGGGCAGAGGGGGTGCAGTAGGTGAAAGCCAAGATCAGACTTGGGAGAACTTTCGGGGGTGAGAGAAGCAGGGAGACTGGGACAAGCCTAGCGCAGAGACCCCGCTCAGGTGGTATGGGCTGGGCTGTGGCATCACTCCAGGTGTGGCTTGGCCATGCTGCTGCTGCAGTTGATGCTAATTCTTCACAGGTTCCACGTTTGCAAATTCATCTCCTAAAATTTGACTGGTAGCCCCCAACGTTTGAGGCACTTTTAAGATGACGAAGGACAGGTTTTGAGTTAACTTGTTAACTTCCTAGTTAAGAAAGCCTAAGGACAACTTTCCTCATTTTAATACCCACGCTACATGTGTCCTTTTCGCTGTTTAGTGCCACTCGTTCCACACTACTCTGCCTTGTTGGGCAGTTTCATGGTTTAAATGTCTCCAAGTACAGTGCTGAGGTGCTGGCTAGGGTTGCTAAGCACAAGTCCATGATGTGTCTTATGGAGAAAATACGTGGCTTTAGTGAGCTTCCTTCCGGCACAGCTGTGCTGCTGGCCTGAAGCTCCACGGTAATGGACCAGCAATGTGGATGGACTGTATGTACAGTGGAGCACACTGACAAGGCTGTGTTGCTGGAGTGATTTAAGTGTCTTGATCAGAAGCCACAGGAAGGGGCTGGCAAGATGGCTCAGTAGAAGAAGCGCTTCCCTGGCAAGCTCAAGGGCCTGAGTTCAATCTCCATTGTAGCACATGAACAAGTACTGAAAGTTATGAGACAAGATTATACCTGGGAGGGGCCAGCGAGATGGCTCAGCAGACGAAAGCATCTGCTTAGGCAAGTGCAGGGACTGCAGTTCAATCCCCAGCACCACATGCCACGCCAGCCCCGCCTCTAGGACTGAGCTAGCCAGAGTCCAGGCACAGTGGTGTATGTCCATAATCCCAGTGTTGGACAGGCTGAAAAGCAGGAGGATCACCATGAGTCCAAGCTGTGTAGTGAGACCCTGCAACAACCAAATACATTTAAAAAAAAAAAAAAAAATTATACCTGAGACAAGCTGGGAGAGTGCCATCAACTGAAGAAGCTGCCATACCCCTTAGAAGAGGGGCCAGGTAGGCACAGCAACTTGAAAGTCAGAGAAGCAAGTAGGATTCCTCTGGCCCTGGCTGGGAGGCTCACCCAGGCCATCACACTTGGTTAGGTACATCCCCATCCTGTGGCTCAGGGCCTCCCTCACAAAATACAAAGGATGGTCCCTGCCTGCCTCGCAAGCGGGAAGGATACTGCTTTGCAAGTGCCTGAAGCACTCCTGGGTGTTGATCAGGTGTCCAGATGTGCCCCCTCCAGATGTAGGCAGTCTCATATGTACTCATTTCTGTGGCTTCCCAACCTAAGGACAGCCAAAGCCTAGAGATTTGGGTTTTTACGACTTGTAAAAGCCATGTGAAATGTGCCACTTTAACCATTTTTCACTTCAATGATACTGAGTAATTCATGGTTGCACCAGATTCCAGAATTTTCTGTTTAGTTGTGTCTCCATTAAGCACTGTAACTCTATTCCTAGTCCCTGGCCCTACCCTTCCACTCTGTCTCTACCATAAAGCACTGTCTTTGTGTGACTGCCTTTTCTCATGCTGCATAACATGGGTCAAGGCATCCATGTGGCAGAATTCTCTTTCCTTTTGAAGCTGATAGCTCACTGCAGTCTAATTAGAGATGAGTGTAGCGTCCCCTCCTAGGCTTCCATAGACTGTCTGACCAGGCAGTAGATACCTTTGTCATACAGATAAAACTCTTTCTGAATGACCCAACCCCTGCCTCAAACAATGCCTCCCAGTTGATGTCCTGTTACATTTTCCTCATCAGCCGATTAGTAACTACTGAGCTTTTTCAGCTGAATGCAATGATCACATTTTTCCAGACTGAATTACACAGCATCTCTTGGCTTTAATATGTGGCACAGGTAATCTTTAAATAATACAAGAGCTTGAAGCTAAATTAAGGTTCCCCCACCCCATGTTCCATTAATGATTAGAGGAAGGGAAAATGCAAGAAAGTAAGCTGCCACATGGGTCAGTCCTGGTACAAAGGTCCTTACCTGAGGGCAGCATAACCCCAAAATTGACTTAACATGACTTCGCAACAGCCTGTGAGCAGGGCCATAGTGCCCACTCCTTACGATGGGTTGGAAAGACAGTCACACAGCTGATCTAGGGATTTCAGTCCCATCTCCTGCCAACACTACACTCTGCATCCCCTTTCTGGGGCAGCCAGCATAGAACAGGTTCAGCCAGAGGCAGCTTGTTCCCTGTTCCCAGGGGGCACTGGAGAGATTTTTTTTTTGGCTGTCACAATTGAAAGTGGTGGGTTGCTATTGGCACTGAGTAGGCAGAGAGCAGGGATGCTGCTAACCATACTGCAATACACAGGCTGTCTTCATGAGCCAGCGGATGGTGCCAAGGCTGAGAAGCTCTAGCCTTGGGCAGCCCAGGCCACAGCCCACCTCAACCCATGGGGATTATGGCTATGGAGTGCAGAAGCCAAGCAGAGCCCACCAACCCAGATCAGACATCCAGGAACAGCAGAGGACAATGAATGCTCCAAGATGGTCCCAGGTGGCCAGTGCTTATCGTTATTCTCCCAGCAAATCTGTAAACTCTACTGTATACCACATGCTGAGATTAGAACTGAATCAGAGAGATGCTGTCAAGATTTAAGCAAATTAACCAATCACTTCCCCTGGTGAAAAGGCATGGAGGAAATGTCACAATACTGTGACTAGGTAGAGAGGTGTGCAAATACAGATGGGTAACCAGTGACATGGGAGAGCAAAGCCCAACTAGAGAGCAAGTCTTGTGGCCAGCCAGAGAGCAAGTGTTGGTCAGAAAGAGTTTGGTGCGTCCCAGCCACACTGAGACAGCCAGCCAGTGTGGCCCGGGTGTGGGGAGCAGCTCACTGGTGGGGCACCCAGTCACATAGGCTTTACAGGCCTGTTACTTTGGGCAAGGATGTAACGACTACAGTCACAAGGCCCCCAGAACAGTGAGCGAATGCCAGCTCACCAGGCTTATTTTGTGTCATCTTCCAAGAGCCCTACGGAAACCAACATGACACCATCACTGCCCAGAAGTTAAATGAACCACCATGATCACATGTAGCCAAGATTTACCCCTGAGCAGTCTAATCCTACAGCCTAACTGGGATTAGTTAGGATTAAACTCTAGTCCTTGTCCCACCTCATTTGTGTGGTAGGAAGTTACCTCTGAGGCCCTAGAAACAGTGATATTGAAAGGTGAAGAGAGGGTGTGGCTACAGTCCAAGAAAAGTGTCATATAGGGATGTTTATCCTCAGCAAAGAGCCAGAAGGTGACTCACTCAGGCTCTGAGGATCTATCGCCTCAGTCTCAGCTACCCAATTCTGTTATTGCATTGATATAGATAAACTTTACAGCAAGTACGTTCCAGTGGGGCCACAGTTACAAACACAGGGGAATGGCTAGGTCAGAACCTATGGCCATGGTTTGGCTAACCCTAAACTTCTAGCTAGGAGACAGATGGTGGAAAGATGCAAAGCAGCAACCTCCTGTGCCAGGGGAGAGACTACAGGAGCAGACAGCCTGTGTCATAACCAACATGGGCAGGGCATCACCTGATGCCACAAGGGAAGTTCCTCAGTACTCTGTGCAAGGGTCTGGCTATCATGAGTAAAAGGCCCCAAGAGAAAGCTGCCCAGAGGTCAGAACAGAATCAAAAGCTTTGCCAACAAGGCTGATCCTCTCCTGAAGATCCTGTGGCCATATGCCTCAGATACAAGGAACATGAGAAATGAAAGACACAAAACTTCTGACGCCAGGAGGGGGCGGGGGGCCGGGGCAGCAAGACAGGATCCAGGAGCCCCAGGGAAGGGGATGCCTTCATCTCTGGTGCAGCCTACATGCTACTACCTCCTGCCCCCCGCCCCCGCCAGCTCTCCTCGGTCGCCATCTAGGAGTCTAGGTTGGTAACTAGCTCTGGCTCCTCATGAAACCACGTTTTGGACAGGGTTGAGGTACTTCATGCAGGCTAAGGGCAGAGTTTTAAAACCAAACCAAGAGGCCTGGCAGGGACTGGAAAAACCCAAAGCTGCAGGTTCTTGCCCCTCCTTGTCCCTGTAGTACTAAGGACCCACATGTACCTTGTTTCATTTCAGAAGCTGAAAATCTAAATTCTTCCCAGACTACCACCACTATTTTATGTTAACTTAAACTTTTTAGTATTATAGAAGATTGGATGCCCAGGGCCTGACTTGAGCCTGCACCCCCTGTCTTCTCGCAGACAGATACCCTCTGCACCCTGGTGAGGAAGTAAGACTCAGCAGGCTGGTGCCCCGCCACCCCCATCCCTTTTCTGTCCAGACTGCTGCATGGCCCTTTTGGTTTTCCCACAACTCCATATTTTTATGTCCATTATTTTTTTCTCTTGTTTACTGAGCTGAAAATCCTATAAAGCTATTTTTACACTTTTATACAATATAGGAGTACTAAAATACATCTAGTATTATACCATCTCTAGTTCCAAAACATTTTTATCATCAGCAAATCCATGAAACAGTGGCTCTGTGTGCCTCTCCTCCAGCCCTGGCAAGCACTAATCTGCTTTGTCTCTACACATTGACCAATTCTGTACAGTTCGTATTTGCAGAATGTTCTCAGTATGTCTGTCACAGAACAAAATGCTTCTGAAATTCATCTAGACCAGTGATGGCAAACCTAAAGCACATGAGCCGCAGGGGACTATTTATTATCATTGAAAGCTCTAAAAGGTTCATTAGGGCCAGGAATATAGCTCAGTGGCATAAGCGCCTGCCTAGCAAGTACAAGGTCCTGAGTTCAATTCCCAGTACTAAACAAACAAACAAAAGTTCATTTTTTTTATAACTGAATGTTCCTTCATATAGATGTATCATAATTTACCTATACATAGCTTTGAAATTCTCTCAAGCGAGTCACTTCTTAACTCCAGGACTTCAGTCTCCCCAATGCAAATACCTTGAAGTCCTCTCCTAGGGGCCCAGGACCTGCATCCAGGCAGAGAAACTTCCTAAGCCCACAAGTCCCATGCCACACTAAGCCTCAAGCTCAACCTTATCTTCATAAAAGATCTGCTGCCTAAGGGGCCTGGCCAACCTTTTGGGACCTCCCTAACCCAGCCACTCTCTGATACCCACAGAGTACAAGGCCAGCTATGCCCGTAATCGTTCCATCCGCTCCGTGGCCATTGAGGTGGATGGCGAGGTGTACCATCTAGGCCTGGAGGATGCACCCCAGACCCACAACCATACCAAGCGGCACTGGCAGGGGGCGCTCGAGGACCAAGAGGACAAGGACGGTGGGGGATTCAGTGGCACTGGAGGCCTTCCAGACTACTCAGCCCCCAATCCCATTAAAGTGACCCATAGGTGAGAGTCCAGGCAGAGATTGGGGGTGAAGGAGCAGGTTGGGCCCCTTTCATGCCTCAGGGACACATGGATGACATTTTCTTTTGGTCAGGTGCTACATCCTAGAAAATGACACAGTCCAGTGTGACCTGGACCTGTACAAGTCCCTGCAGGCCTGGAAAGACCATAAGCTACACATCGACCATGAGGTGAGCGTAACTGGGCAAGCATACCGTCGGGCACCACTGACTCAGAGGCACTCACTGACTTGCCACCCACAGGGAGGACAGAGCAAGGAAAGGGGCAAAAGAGGTGAAGGAAGGTGCCACAGAATCCACGAACCAAGCACGCGCTCATCAGTCCTAGCAGCCTCCCTGCAGCAAGCTGTCTATGGGAAGACAGCTTACCCAAATTATACCGTGGCTGTCGAGCTGGCTTTACCAGTTAGGCCTGTGAGCATGCCTGGGAGACACAGCTCAGCCCTCAGTGGGCTCAGGTGGTTGTTAGGCCAGGACAGAATGACTTACAGCTCCCCCCAAGAGCCCAGTTAGAGGAAAGGGGGACCTCCTGTAGCCAGTGGAAGGGCCTTCTCAATGCCCCCAAGTGCAGGCACATCCCTGGGGCCTGGGCTACAGCCAGTCACCAGGCTGTGCCCTTCTCACCCAGCCCATTAGCTTCAAGGCCTCCTCTCCTGCTCCCTCCTCAGATTGAAACCCTACAGAACAAAATTAAGAACCTCAGGGAAGTCCGAGGTCACCTGAAGAAAAAGCGCCCAGAAGAATGTGATTGCCACAAAATTAGGTGAGGAGTTAGCAGATGGCCCCAGGCCCTCCTGAGGGTCATTCCTGGAGACAACACATTACTGACCCTTTCCATTCTTTAACCCTACCACCAGGGGTTTAAAAAAGAAATCATATTTGACATACCCATTGGGAGCCAGCAGGGAACAAGGTACACACACCTCTCAGGGCCCCCATCACTCACTGCTCACAGAGGCAGGCTCTGACATCCAACACTGGCTCTGGGTAGAGGAAGCACTGTTTTAAAAGCATGTCCTTTGTAAATCGTCCATACAGTTCAAGGTCCACATTGCCACAGGGGGCCCCTGGCCGAAGGGACTGAAGTCCAGAGCAGCCCTGTCCAAAAGAACTTCCCACAAGGGTGGAAATGGGCTCTATCTGACCATCCAGTATAGTAGCCACAAACCACAGCATTTTTCCATTTTATCTAGTGTAAGTTAAAATAGCCCCATATGGCCAGTAGCTCCTAAATGGACACCACACCTTCACCATCTCTGCTGGCTCCTCAGAAAGGCTGCCAGAAAAACAAAACTCCATTGCTGGCCTGGCTAAGTTGAAGGTATGAAGGGGATGGAGCCCAAGGCTGATGCCACCTGAAGCCAGGCTCAGGTCCTAGTCTTGGCTAAATTATTGTATCACCCCTCCAAAAATTATAGTTTAGACTTTAGCCAGGACCTCCCAGCCAGCTGGGCAAGAAGCTGCCACCCCAGGGACAGTACAGTACCCTTCCTACCACAACCCAGTGATGGGCAGGGTGGGGCAGTGGTGACTAAGGGGAGTCCCAGGACTAACCTGCACCTGCTGGGGTTCCCTGCACACCTCTGACACTGGGATCTGTTCCAGCTACCACACCCAACACAAAGGCCGCCTCAAGCACAAAAGCTCCAGCCTGCATCCTTTCAGGTAAGGGCAAATAAGGCGAGCTCCAGAGAAGATAAGCAAGAGTTCCTCAGGAGGCTGCCCTCCTCTAACAACAAGAAAAGGAAGTCCTGGCTTTCCCTGGGAGATGTGTGGCTGTCCTTAGAGAGCCCTGACTTCTAAGCCACATTGAGCAGGTATCTGGATGTACTTTGTGGCTAGATGGGATTGCTGGAACCCCGGGAGAGGGCAGAAGGAGTCCCAGTGGCCAGCAAGCTTTTCTCTTGGGAGCCTCTGAAGGATGGAACATGAAGAGCAATGCCCCAGATTGCGGTCCCAGGTCTATCTGGTCCCAGTGGTAGGACTTGGGGTCCTTTGTTAGAGAAGGCACAGTCCAACCCTACAGAGGACAGAAATAGAAGCGTAGGTCACTGGTCCCTCAGAGGTGCAGTGCTGCATGCTTCTTGTGTTTTTATTTTTTGAGACAGGATCTCACTATGTAGTTCAGACTGGCCCTGAATTTGTGACAATCCTGCCTCACCTTCCCAAGTGTACCACCATGCCTGCCCTTGTGTGGTTCTTTTCCCCCTAGGAAGGGTCTGCAGGAGAAGGACAAGATGTGGCTCCTGCGAGAACAGAAGCGCAAGAAGAAACTTCGAAAGCTGCTCAAGCGTCTCCAGAACAATGACACCTGCAGCATGCCAGGCCTCACATGCTTCACCCATGACAACCAGCACTGGCAAACAGCTCCTCTCTGGACACGTGAGCAGGCTGGGGCAGGCACAGGACAGGGATGGGAGGCTGGGGCCCACGTGGCATGGTAAGTCACCTGCCCCTGGTTTCCTGGTTTGTGAGGCCTGACTTGCAGGTCTCTCAAAAATGGGTGCCCACATCAGCAGTCTACAGGTGCTCCAGACTGTCACTTGGTTGGTGTCTGAGGAACTCACTCGGGGGCTGTCCCTGACAGCAATTAGCTGTCAGACTGGGCTGCTTCTTTCAGACAAATTCAAGGCATGCCCTTTCTTCTCTTGGCAGTGGGGCCTTTCTGTGCCTGCACCAGTGCCAACAACAATACGTACTGGTGCATGAGGACAATCAACGAGACCCATAACTTCCTCTTCTGTGAATTTGCAACTGGCTTCCTGGAGTATTTTGACCTCAACACAGACCCCTACCAGGTACAGATAATACCAGTTGGAGACAGGGATGTAAGTTACACAGGCAATGCCAGGAAGTTGCTCATCCCTAAGAGAAGCAAGGACAAGTTTCCAAGTCCCATTAAGTCCCTAGGACAGGAAGACTGAGTTCTGAAGCCGAGAATCTAGGGATGTCATGTCCAATCAACCTGCCTCTACCTTTGGCCTCTTTAGGCTCAAGTTAACTTCAAAAATCTCAAGGTCTTACAAGGACTTCATCTGCAGAACTAGTGTCAAACCACACAATGAACACCCAAGCCTACAATGAACGTACAAATAATGTACCATAAACGCCGTCGCCCAACATGCATATGTGCCATACACTGTGCTTCGTGCTTCCAGTTTAAACTACCTGGACACAGTCCAAAGCATATTTAAGACAAAAATGAGCAGTGTAGCGGGATATATGAGCCCTTATACTGGGACATGCACTACAGAGCTTCAACACTAGAGCTATGGTATTGCCCAACCGACATCCTTTTAAGAAAAATCTGAAGTAATTTCTTATGATAACTTTCATTCCTAACTCTGAGTGGCTCAGCTGCTTTATCTGAACAGATTACCATGTGAGCTACCAGTCTTCTCCTCAGACAGGTCACCCTGTACGTTACCAGAAGCGGGTGGCAGAGGATATAAATGCTCAACAGAAGCTCCGAGCATAGACAAGGGCTATCACTTACCAATCCCTTCACAAACTGGGCCCTTTTCAAATCAAAAGGAAATTGAGGCAGTGTGAATGAAGACTAGAGACAAATCCAACACTAGAAGGGCCTTCCAAACCTGGTAAGGCTCCTAACCAGCAGCCCAGAAGTTCAACAGTAAGTGCACAGACATGGTTTTACTGTGGTCTTCATTCTCACATAAGTCTCTATAAGAGGACCTGGTGGGAATAAAAGTTAACGCATCACCTAACTCTTCAAATCCTTAGCTCTCACAGTGGAAGGTGGGGTGACCAACCTCTCAGCTTTCTTCTTGGGAGCCACTGTTTCTGGGCTGCCTGGAACAAGTCCCCTGGCTGGCAGAAGCAGAGGAGGCAAGAGTCCCTGGACTCACCCTGTTAACAGCCTGCCTTGTTCTCAACCAGCTGATGAATGCAGTGAACACTCTGGACAGAGATGTGCTAAATCAGTTACATGTACAACTTATGGAGCTGAGGAGCTGCAAGGGTTACAAGCAGTGTAACCCCCGGACACGCAACATGGACCTCGGTGAGTAGTGCCCCTGTAAAGCCTGTAGAAAAAAGGGTAGCCATAGGAAGGAACTTACTTTGGAGGTCATAGCTACCCAAAATGCAAGCCTAGACTCGCCAGGAGCTGGGAGATAATATAATTCAAAACAAGTTTACAGGGACCAATAGCAGGCAGTCAGCTAGCTTTTGATGAGCTGTGCTAGCTTAGAAGAAGAGGGCTGTTATTACTGAAAGCTCTAAGTGGATGACCATTACTGAACTAGACCATTATATAGAATTTGCAATGTGGACCTGGATGAGTAGTGCCCCTGCAAAGCCCTCAGAGAACAGGGTAGCCATAGGAAGGCATTTTATTTTTGTTTTGTTCATTCATTCATTCATTCATTCATCAAACATCTACTACAAACTTACATCTGGGACTGTGTTGGTTATTCGAAATAAAAAAGATGACCATACTCTGAACTCATGTGTGGAAGCTTCTGGCTTGAATGGAGAGAACAAGCCGGTATCATACAATGTAACCACAACAGTGTGTCATCATACACAGCATAGGTCAGGGGTGGCCACTCTAGGAAGTGATCTTTTCAGCTGAGCCCTGGAGAATAAGAAACAATTTCACTGTTAAACCACGGAGGGCTGATGTGCCTGGAGGTATGAGGGCAGAAGCCCAGTGTGGCCAGAGCCAAGGCAAGAAAGGTGGTGGAGTGACAGGTGGGTCAGAGTACCATCCTCTGAAGGGACTGGAGGCCACTGTAGGAAATTTAATTTTATTCTAGGTCCTTTAGGAAGCCAATGGAAAGTGTAACCCCTAAGCAGTGAAGCAGCTTATAAGAAGTGGAGACTCAAACTATACGGGTTAAATAGTGACAACACAGTTATCTATGGAAGATGGTAGGCAGGTGATCCAGCTAGTGAAGCCTGCAACAACATTGTAGAGACAGCAGAGAGAACAAAAAAAATTAGAAGACACCTTCTGCTCCTGGATTTTATGTGGGACAAGAGCAAAATCAGCAATTCTAAGATAAGGAGATGGACTAAATCTCTTTCAAAAATAGAAAACCTAGTGAGGCGTGGGGCACACATCTGTGATCCCAGCACTCAGCAGGCTGAGGCAGGAAAACTGCCGTAAATCTGAGAACAGACATGGCTACATCGTGATTATGAGACTTCGCAACCCACCCTCACAAAGGAAAACCCTAACAAATGAGATTCATTCACTTACTGGTCAAATGAAGCACTGATTAACCTTTAACTTTATGGTACATGAAGGCCCGTAGGCAGTTTTTACCTGTGTCAAGTACAATGCCTAGTGTTCCTGTCAGAAAAGTAACTAAGCAGCTAAAGAGGAAAAATCCAGTTACTACATTCAGCTTTGGTTATGAAAAGGGGAGAGCAAGAGTTTGCAGAAGTTGTGGCACTGACACTGCCAAGCAATGCACACTCACCTATTAGTCACTACATATCAAGCACTATGCTAAGCACTTCATATGCTTTCACATAATTCTAAAGACAGCCTTCCAGGGTATATCTTATTTTGTGGGCGAATAGAGTGAACCTGGAGGCCGACTCCTGAGGTCACACTCCTACCACACTGTTGTATTCTTGGGACAGCTTTCCTAGGACCCTTAGCACAAGCATTTGTGCCAAGTTTATCTACCCCACTATTACCAAGGACAGAGCTAAAGGGTTTAGCATCCTACAACAGCTGTTACAACGCAACTGCCTAGGAGACCTAAGGAAAGTTCATCTCATCAGTCAGGCTGTTCCATCTGACTAAGTTTGCCAACACTTGTACTGTTTTCACCCTAAAATGTCTGTTTCTGTTTTATTCATTTCTCCCTCATTTAGGACTTAAAGATGGAGGAAGCTATGAGCAATACAGGTATTCACTTTTGTTATTAAAGCTTGAAGAAAGTTCCCCTATCTTGAGCTGGCCTTTTAGTCCCTTGTCTGTGAGGCTTTACCTTTTAGATTGAGAAACTGCTGTTTCTCAGTCTTCCTGGGGCCTGGGTCACCTGACAGTGATGGGTCCTTCTCTGTATAGTTCTTTGAGAATGGCTTTCTTGGTGATGGTTAACATTCATTCTCCTTTTGACACTTGAAAACTTAGGCAGTTTCAGCGGCGAAAATGGCCAGAAATGAAGAGACCATCTTCCAAATCACTGTGAGTTGAGGAACCAGTTTACACATACAGATCTGGTTCTGACTTGCTTCTTTTTGCCAAGGCTATTCTATGTGCATGCCATTTCCTAATACCTTCACAATTCACAAGATGAGAAGGGAAAGAGTAATGTTAGATTAATACCATGTCCAAAACCAGTTGTCCTCTCTATAACACTCTGTGACTAGTAAACCTGAGCTATGACTTAAATTGCCAGAATATTGAAGGCTGTGGCTGCCAGAGCACTCACTGGTGGACACCATCAGTACTATGGTAACCTCTTTAAGGGGCTTCAAAAAGCCTATCCTATCATGTGTCACTCCCATGCTGAGAGGCTGGAAGAGGCTGCAGGGGACTGTGATAAACTGGAAACCTCACCACAATTCTAACAACAGTAACTAGTTTGTTCCCTGCAAGAGGTATGCACCTTTTCAGACCTTCTTAAGGAAATCCAGAACTGTAGTGATAATTCATTTTTGACAGTCGCAACTAATTTGCTATTAAGTTACTGTGTAGGCAAACCAAGCGCTTTAGTAAACTGCCATTTGCAATCCTAATCTACTTGTTTAGGGGCCTGTTATTTATTGCTGAGAAAGGAAGCATTTCTTTCGTGCTTCCAGAGTCTACACTTCACAGTCACCTCTGCCACTCTTCTATCCAGAACCTTAAATGCCATCTTTGCCAGCCTCTGAGTGTGTAAGTGAGCAACTAAAAATGGACATGATGGGGTGGGGTATGTTAGAAGTGACCCAGAAATGCTCATTTTTCAGCAGCCACACCCTTGAAGCAAAGCTTAAGTCAGCTGCAGGACCAATTAAAAAGTCCTAAACAAGATGATCGAAGATTGACAGGAGTTTGTTTTGTTATACAGGGGACAGCTGTGGGAAGGCTGGGAAGGTTAAGGAGCAACAGGGAAGACCTCCAAAACCAGACGCTTCATCTGACTGACAGGCCATGAAGAACCAGCCACATCTGACTCCTGACTGAGCTGTATGATACAGGCCAGGAGGTATGAGAGAGACAGAACTGCTTTCAGTCAACATGGGCATATTCTGGAGGACAACCATCAGAAGCAGAGAAATGCAAGGAAGACCATTTTGCCCCTGCTTTGCTTTGGATTATGCTTCACCAGTTGCACAAAATGCATTTTCATATGAAAAAGTCATCACACCATCTCTGAGAAGCCTACAAGGAAAAAGGGCAGATTTTCATGGAAGCTTCCCTCAGAGGTGAGAGGTGAAAGTTGCTGGAATTTTTAACTCAGAAGTAAAACAATCCTGTTTTAAATCCTCTTATTCTTATGATTCATCACAAAGCACCAGGTGAGCGATGTGCAAATGCTGAAAACTGTGCAGTTTAATCGTGAGTCAATAGCACAAAAGGTGACATTATAATCCTGGTTGCCTCAGAAGAAACTGCCTTCTCTGTATATATGTGACTATTTACATGTAACCAACATGGAACTTATAGGGGAATAATCCCAATTTTTCAAGAGTGGTGGTGTCAATAAACGCTCTGTGGCCAGTGTGAAAGAAAATCCTATGCAGTTGTGGACGTTTCTGTTCCTACGCAAAGACCGTTTCATTCCTTTGTTATCCATTCCAGAACTGCTATTTTTATGGTACTGAAAACAAATGAAGTTAATGTATATATGTCCCAAATTTGTGTTTGTAAAGAGAATGTGTAGTTCAAGTATTGTCATATAATGATCAAAACCCTAGCCAGGGACCAGCAATTAGGATGAAGAAGCCTGACATTTTGTAAAAAGCCACCCACCCACCCACCCATATATTTGAAGAGCAGTCAAGATACTACCCGTCAATGCCTTAAGTTTAGATGACTTTTTTTAAAAGGGGGAATATTATAAATTAATGACTAAAACTTTAACATAGGGAGCCTCACTGCTAAGTTGCACATTTAAGAAGTATTAACAGCAAGGCAGTTCATCTTACCACCTTATTGTAGGTGCTTAAACATTAGTACATGTGGTTGTCAGAACTGGAGAAATAGGAATCTTGCCACAAGCAATCCAATATATTTTTCATTTGAGAGATGATTCAAAAATTGTCCCACACTTACCAATACTGAAAATAAAAAGGTTTTGAGTTTGTTCTTTTTGACTAGGGAGCCCGTACCCAACAGAAACTGGAGCTGTTATCTGAAATAAGGCTTTCACTTTCTCTTTTGCCCTTAATCCAATCTCACAGAAGAGAGGGAGAAATCATGCTCATAATCTCCAATTTTAAATAGAAACCTTTATTTACAAGGATACCCAAAATGGGTAGCAAAGAAGTCACAGCTCACCACCCCATCTCATGGGTCATCCTATATGGTTTAAATTCTTTGCAGGTTAAAAGAACAATTTAAGTTTTTCTTGTTTTTAATCAACAATGTAAACTTGATTGAAACCAAATCAGTTCTTAATACTATTAAGTCAATTCCTGAGAATTTAAATATTGCTCTCAGAATGACATTTCCATCTTCTTCAAAATCCCATATATTGCAAAGAGAAAAAAGAAAGAAAAATAAGAAAACACCTTGCTCATTTGAAATGGTCTACCTGGGAGTTGAAAACAACTTATTTATTCCTCTGCTGCAGGGGTAAATCTTCATATATATGCACCTGTAAATTTCCCACTTGTAAATAAAACTCACACCTTCTGCAAATAAAAAGGGACCAGCATATAGGCAACTGGGAATCCATTTTGCTTGCTTTCCGCAGCATCGACCTCTGGGTAAAAGTACTTCTAGGACATTAAACCAATTATCTTCTATAGTACCCAACCCCAACTCACCTTATGTATTCAATACTGATAAACTATAGGACTGCTTATTGATATTTACATGGTTTCAATCCAGATGGACAATTAAAAATGGCATCATAATATGAATATTAACAATGAAACTCTGATTTTTTTAAAGGAAGAAACATGTATCTCCTTTATATCATTTTGATATTCATAAAATATATTTTTTTATTTATATATCTTTGGATTCAGCAAAAAAGTAGGTACTGGAAATATCCCACATTCTAAAAGTATATGAAAAAACTTAATACTCTTTACCCAAGAAATACCTAGGTTTAAAAAAAAAGGAGGGGCGGGTGCCTGAGAATGAGGAGAGGTAGGCAGCAGGGAGTACAATTATCCAAAAAAGATTAAAAGGACAGCAAAGGTAAAAACAACAAATAAAGACTGCATCTGTTAAAATACTGAGCTTATACCAACAAAAGTCAACAAATAGAAAATACAAAAACTTAGAATAAACTTCATTTTTCCCCATAACCCCCCACCTTTTTGCTGCTGCCTTCTATGTAGCCTGGAGTCAGGACTGAGAAAAGAATCACAAAGTCTCAACTTTAAAAAGTGAAAGTATGAGCACCATTTTGTCCTCACCTACACGATTTGTTTGAGGAAGGCTCAGGCACGCCCAACGGCCTGGCCTAAGAGAGACTCACTGCGCTGCCTCCATAACTCAAACATCCAAGTGACCTGGAAAGCACAAGCCGTGCAACGAAGATTAAGATCTGAACGTTTGAGAGTTTTAACACCTGTGGGGAAGGAATAATGGTGACACACTCATAACGGTCTGCAGAGTGTTTAAAAATAAAATGCACCCTAGTTGTAATTCTAGAACTATGGAGCCTGACTTATTCTTAACCACGTCAAAGAAATTATTTCTTCAGAGAGATCTAGAAAGTATTTGCTAAGTTGTGAAATTCAAAAATAAACTGGTTCTCAATTATTGCTAGAAAATTTATACAAAGGCTTTTGTAAAGTCGCTTGAAATTTATAGATGTTCCAAAACCCAAATTTTCATTCTCCTGTCTGAACGTAATAGAATGACCCCATGATGGGAATCAAACTTGATTCTTCCCTTAACCCAGACCGAACAGAAGAGGCATACATAAAAGGGGGACCAGCAGGGGTGACGCACACACAGAAGTGCTCAGACTGCAGCTCTGGACCTCAGCACAGCCTAGAGTCTATTCTGGTCCTAAGCACTATTAATCTCAGGGATGTACAAGGATTAGAAAAATAGGATGAAGATTAGTAGAAAATGGTTAAGACAGCTGAGCTGACACCAGAAACCACACACTAAGGATTCTACACCTGCAATATCAATGTGGGATTTAGCTCCTAGCAACCAACAGCTTACAGCACTCCTAAAATGGATGGAAAGACAACATGGTACTGAATTTAAATTTTGCAAAAGGGAACATGATTTATAGACTGCTTTAAATCCAAAAGATTTTTTTAAAGCAAATTGATTTTCTTCAAATTCCTGATATTTCCTCTATATCTAGTCATTTCCCCCAAATTAACAAAGTGCTCAGTTCTCTGGTAGAGGAATTTAAAAAAAAAAATTTTTTTTAAATGCTCATTTACATCTAAACAAATGATCTCTTTAAAAAGGATTTAGACTGAGAGAATGAAAAGAGTGAGGCATCTGACACTGGGGTAAAAGAAAAACGGGATATGTCATCCTCTCCAACCCCAGGCCCAGGTGATTCAGGGATCCTCACCACACACAGCGTACTAAAATCGACAAATTGTTAAATACTCGGCTTCACAAACTCTGTAAAAATGAGTTATGATCTAAAAAAAGGTATATACATATCTTACATCATACAATATTTTAATAAGTCATATTTACAAAAAAATTTATTCACAGAAACACTGCAAACTTCTGATTCAGAAGGCAGTTTTCTGGCCTTAGAGTTACAGAAGTTTATTTTCAAAAAGCATTATTGCTCTACCATATAGGCAAAGGGTGACACCAGTACTTTAAAAGAAAATCAGTTTTTGTCCAACAAATTAATGGAGACAAAAACCACGAATGTTTACCATTCCTCAAGACCAAGAATATTGCATTTATCCATTACTTATTTATTTAAATAAAGTGCACTCAGCTGCACGTCAGCATATGAAAAACTGCCACTGCTGCAATTAAATACTGTCATCTCAATTAGCTTTCTGCAAAGCTACTAGACATCAGTGACATGTTGGAGGTGAAGTCATTACAGGACTTTAAGGCCAAATGAAATGCTAATTCTAAGAGAAGGCCTAGGACAATTTTAAAAAATGAGCAAAGAACAAAAACTCAGATATGCCAATTTCACTGCATAAAGAACAGCATAAATTACTTAGAAAACACTTCAAAACTGGGACTACGCTCTCTGTTCAATACTGCAACTAGAGAAACCACAGATGTCCTGATCTCTCACTTGCTCTCTGGCCATCTACATTTAGCTGAAAGACTTTGGCTAGCCAGGCAGAAGGAAGTGTGATCACAGAAGAATATTGTGATCATATTCACTCCTTTCTTCAAAATCACATCACTGAAAGGCAGAATGTCAAAAAAAAACTTTTTGCATTCCATGATATACAAAAGAAAAAACAAAACAGATAGTGCACTTCCGTTTAAGTCCTGATCAAATGACATCTCTTGGAGTACCCCTGATGGAGATCAGAGCTGGTCCTCACTTCACAACTGGACGCCTGAACAAGGATTCTTCACCTCCCAATAATGCTGTGGCAGTAGCATTTGTACACTGATTTTCTTAGAAGTCCAGGTGTAAGAGTGTCAGCAATATTTCTGTAACCAGTAGAAAACAAGAGTAAAAACGTGTGTTTAACAGAAAAACAAAACCACCACCAAAAACACCTTTATGTAAACAGAAAATGACGTAGTTCATTCTGGCTGACCAGTTCAGCCTCCTTGAGATCCTGCAGTACCAAAAGTATCTAATGGGCCTTCATTTAAAAAAAAAAAAAAAAAAAAAAAATTTAGTATTTTTCTCTCTGGGGAAAGGACACTATGGGATTAAACCCAGAGCCTTCACAACCTTAGCCCTTTTTGAAATAGGGTCTTGCTAAACTGCCCAAGCTGGACTACAGCCTCCCACAGTGTTGAGAGTACAGGCATATATACCAACATACCAAGCCAATTACATTATTTTTAAATTATATAACCAAGTTATAATAATCTACCCAGACCATTATAGTTAATGCTCTAATTCTCTCCAGAGAGAGAACAAGAAAAGCTTTCTGAACAGGCAAGAAACTGATCCTCATACCTGATCAGGACCCATGGGCATGCCTGACATGGGCATGGAGTTCATGTTCATCTGTCCCAAGTGACCACTGCTGCCATTCATGTGCATCATACTATATGCTGTAGGATTCCCCTGGTGGGCAAACTGCTGCTGGGGAAAGGAGCTGTGAAGAAAGTGTATTATTACCTTTGGTCATTTTAAAAATTGTCACACACACACACACACACACACACACACACACACACACTCTTAACAGTTTTGTCAACTGTCCATAGCTTTCTGTATTCAATACCCTAACAAATACATGCGCAGTGCAAAGGATGCTCAAAAGCAACAAGTTATATAACATTATCTGGTTCTAATTCAGGCCTTTTCCTTTTCCACTGAAACAACTATGACTAAACAATGCACAGAGATTAATTTCCTAAATTTCTGGCACTAGGATGTGAACTGCTTTTAAACTCTTCACTGTTTACCTGTTCCTGGCCAAGGTTCCTGATGGCCAGCCCTTCATTTCTGAGGACTGATACATGGGTGCAGTCTGTGGATGCTGCATCATGGGGTTCTGAGATGAACCCATTCTTGATGACATCATTGGATTAGGAGGACTAGGTACTCGACCAAAGGCTGGATCTGGTTGTTGTCCCATTCCTTGAAAGCGAGAAAAAAGAAATTATGATGCTCAAATACTACTTTGTTCCCTTTCAGAAAGTGGATGAGAGGCAGTGAGGGCCAGGGAGATGGCTCAGTGGAATAAGTGCTTCCCTGGCAAGCACAAGGGCCTGAGTTCAATCCCTGGTTCAGCGGAAAAAAAAAAAAAAAAAGATGTGAAGACCTACAAGAAGTTCCTCCAAGTTATTCTTGCTTTTCCTATGACAAGTCATGGACTTGATACCAAAAGTCTCACACTCTAGACCAAATGAAAGACAGCTGCTTTAAAGGCTTTTCTGTATGAAAGGGAATTCCATAACCTGTGATGCATACTGCTCTGTTCACCCATTTTTAGAAGGCAGAGATGCTACCATGCCTCAGAGCAGAGCTGCACATTGAAATGTAAGATCCACCCAATAGACATCTTGTAAAGGTTGAACTTCCGTGCTATCTGAATTATTAAAATTAATAGTAAGTTCACATCACCACAAAAAGGAACTTCAAAGGCGAGACAATATATCCTTCTCAGTGACTTAAATATTGAAAAATTAGAATCCTACTATACTAGGACATGTAAAAAAAGAACAAGGAAAGAATTTTGAAGGCTTTCTCCACAAAAGGAAAGAGAAGACCTGAAAACATAAGATCTGAAAAACATTCATCTGTAATAGAATATATGCACCTCAATTACCTTACTTTTTCTCCATTACTTCAAAATAATTTTATTTTTCTTGTGAAGTAGTAAGATAACAAACAGGAAAAAAAAAAAAAAAAAGATAGCAAATAATATATGCTTCCCATGCAACAGACCTAAGTCCTAAGAAATGTCACTTTGTGGACAAGACAGTCTCTGTCATGTTTACCATAATTTGGTGGATACGGAAACTGCTGTGCTGGAGCCTGTGGTATTGCAGATCCTGCCAAGATGCCATCCATGCTGGGGGAAGCAGTCACATTTGGAGGAGGGCTGAAGGCCTGGCTCTGCTGCTGTTGCTGTTGCTGCTGCTGCATCATCATTGCCACCCTCTGCTGTCGGAAGTGATGACTTAGCAGCTCCCTGCTACGCTGAGCAACCATCTGAGCATTTAGAAAACCCTGCTAATTATCAAAAAAGAATGCAGTTACAAATAGCAAAAGCCAACCAGTTTCATACATATGGTACTCCCATATAATATATTAGGTATAAGAAAAAGTATCCAGTTCCTTTAACATTAAAGAGGCCAGCGGGTTGGGTCAGTGGTACCGACTAGCAAGCATGAGGCCCGGAGTTCACTTCCTGGTACCCTAACCAAACAAAAGAAAATAAAATGTACAACTCTTAGTAAAAACGTTTCTCAGCCTGGAACAGAGTCACATTCCTGCTGTTCCAGTACTCAGGGGAGATGGAACCCTGAGGCTCTGTTTAACAGCTCAGAAGTTTGAGGCCAGGCTGGGCAAAATAAAAGAAACCCATCTTTTTGGATGGGATGATGGCAAACACCTAATCCCAACACACTGGGAGGCTGAGATAGGAGAATACTGAAGCCAAGCACAGCAGAAATAACTTAATCACTTAACAGGACCCTACCTCAAAATGGAAAAAGTAATTTAAAAAACTGGGGATATAGCTCAGTGCAGATGCCCGGGGTTCAATCCCCAGTTCCAGGGAGGGGAAAGGAAAGGAAAGGTATGAAACAGGAAGAGGGGGAGAAGAGGGGGAGGACCCTAGTCACCAAATCAGGGAGGGGTAGGACAGTAATTAAGGCTGTTAGAAAATGGAAAAGACACACGCTCCAAAGAGACAAAAAATGAAAGGTAGGCTTCTACTGAAATAAGGAGGAAGCTCACAAGTCTTACAGTCTTTGTAAATCTGAAAGGAAGGTAAAAGACAAAAGAGAAAACTGGAAGTTAAGGAGGTCACGTGAACAAAGAGTAAAAGACAGCCAAGTGTACAGTAATAGCTCACACCTATAATCCCAACATTCTGGAAGGTTGTGGAAGGACCCAAGTTTAAACCAACCAAAGTCATTTTAGTGACACCTGTCCCAATATTAAATTTTTCAAAAGGACTGAGGATACAACTCGGAGATATGGGGGTGGAGGGCATAGGGGGGAGAGGGAGAAGCAGGCTCTAAAAAGGAAAAGGGGTAGGACTATAAACACTGATTTGGGCTGTATGAACTTAGCAAAGATTAACTCAAAAAAAAAAAAAAAAAAAAAAAAAAAAAAAAAAAAAAAAAAAAAAAACAAAAAACAAAAAACAAAAAAACACCTAGAAATGTTTATCATCTATTTGGCAGGCAACTTAGCTAAGCTTATACAAGATGCTGATTATGAAAAAGCTTCAGTACTTCAATGTGGGCCTAAGATAGCGAAATTTGAACACTTCCATTTATTTTACTTTACACAATTATGAACAGAAGGTATGATCACAGTAGAGGGAAGACTGTCATGTTATTTACTGCCTCCCAAAACAGAATGAGATAGGAAGTGGAGAATGCTGGAGATTGAACCAAGAACCTTCACACACTAAGCTACATCCCAGCCTAGAAAGCCATATGAGCACTGCCTACATTGCTGCTAGAAAGAGAAGAGCCTCACATGCCCGCTTAGTACAGAAAATAGAGCTTCTCTTACCTAGTAAACATGTGGTTTCATAATCCAGATACACAGACATTCATTAACAGAGTTACTATTTTAAATTTCTAAAAGCTAAGTGATAGTTTGTCTCACAACAAATCAAATGATTACAAAGGGAATTAACTTTCAGTGGTAGTTTTAATGAAGTAAACCCTCATTCCCTTCATGCTTGCATCAACATCGAGAAAAAATAAGTTCAATGTGTACATGGAGCTGTTTTTTACACAACAAATTCAGAAATACTCTCATCTGTTCAAACTAACTGAGCCAACCATGAATGAAGGCCCGTGCTGGGGTGTGGCCATGAAGGCAGAGGCTCCTCCTCACCTGGGAGCTCACCTGGGGCTGCATCACAGGCCTCATCACTGCAGCACCACCTCCAGTGGAGTTCTCGATCTTCATTTCAAGTGCCTGCCGGCTCTGATTCAAAAACTGGAGAGACAGGTTTGTCAGGATACAAGTGGAGAACATTAACATGCCCTAAGCCACTAGGTTCATGATTCTATCCCTAAATCCATTAACCTGATAAATTGCATCTAAACTGAGCTGATACATTTTAATACTGAAAAAATACATACATATACATACATACATACATACATACATACATAAAAAGGTATACTGAAACATCCTTAATCCAGCATATAAAGCTTTACTGTTTGGCACAAGGAGAAAAATAAAAGTACAAGTATATAGTTTAAAAGTGTCTCCAGGCTGCACATGGTGGCCAACGTCTATAATCTAAGCACTCAGGCGCCTGAGCAGAAGGCCAGCTTGAACTACAAAGTGAAACACTGACTCAATAAGAATAACCCTCCATCCCACCCAAAAAAAAAAACTATTTCAGGAACTCAAAAGACTTATACAGTCTAGGATTATGCAGGAACTGCTTGAGTGTCATCAGCGCAATGATGAATAAACTATCTCCTTATACTTTTCCCTAAGTGACGTTTTGTGCAAAGAAATGATGAAAACTACAATACCAGAAATACATTTGCCCAAGCACCTAAGCTATTAATAATATTCAAGTACCAAATGGTCTCTAGCTCACTAGATTCTAAACTCAGTCACTCCTCTGCTTCATGAATTAGTTCTTTTCAAACACTAGCTAGAGATTAAGAACACAAAGGGGAAAAGAGGCATAAGTTCTAAGAATATTGAAAGTTCTAGTTTTGTAAAACACCTAAAAGGGGGCCTGCCCTTAACTCAGTTGTTTAAGAGCCTGCTCATGCAAAAGCAGTCAGGAGCATGATACCACAGTTCAATCCCCAGCTCCACCTGCCTTACCAGACCTGCCGTTCAGGCAACCTAAGCCACAAAAAAATCAATCAATCAAACACCTAAAAACCACTGACTTGATCAAGAAGGCCTAAATACTTGGTAACAGTATCAAGTACTTTAAAAAAAAAAAAAAAAGTCCTCAAGAAACATTGCTTCCTCCCCCCCAAAACAACCCCAGTAATTTCAGACTTCGTTGTTTTTTAACCTGCACAATGGAACACTCATATATGAAGGTAACCAATCACTTCTGAATAAAGGAGCCATAGGAACAATTAAATTTTAGCCACAGCAGTGAAAACAAAAAGAATTCAATTGCCAAGGACTGGAGCAGTGGTGAGAGCCCTGAGGAATATATCCTGAAAACTAAGATGTGACCAACAGGAAGAGTCCCTTAGGCCACAGCCAAACTCTTCGCAGGTTGATTACCTGTTGGCCCTGCAATCTCTGCTGAAGCTGCATTCTAAGTTGCTTTGGGGTGTTTGTCCGAGGTCTCATGATGTTGGCCCTAGGATGCATCACCTGGAGAGGAAAACTGCCTTGTTGGCTCATCTGATTCATCATAGAGTTAAAAGATGGTGATTGTCCCTGAAGATTAAAGCCTCCTTGCATTGGAGGCCCCTGTGTTGGATATGTCTGTCCATATAATGCTGCCTTCTGATCCATCATTACTGCTGCTTCTTGGCCTTGGAAAGCATCCTGTTTGGGATCCAAAGCGTGTCCCTTAAACATCAAACAAATAAACAATCAAGTACATCTGTAAAAGCAAAGTCCAGTGTTCTAAAGGAGGAGAAAGCTAAAGTCAGTAGGTGAATACACAATGGTTCAGATCGCCAAAAGCAAAATCAAGTTTACTGTCTACAGTTCTGAGTATAACAAGTGCCTCTGTTCAGGAATGTGTCTTAGTGCCTAGCAAATATTTCCCAAGTTCTACAAATGTATTAAACACATAAAGGCATACAGTTTGTTCCAGGCCAGATTTCTATACTAAGAATCATGGACTTCCCAACCCAAGTACTTTTGTTAAAAAATCAATTAAAAAATCAAAAATCAATAAATTCTTGTGTAATGTGATCATTATGTATATCTAAAACGTACCACTAAAAAATGTTTTTAAAAAAGATATTAAATTCTTGCCAGGCGTGGTAGCGCACACTTGTAATCCAAGCACTTGGGAGGCTGTGGCTGGAGGATCCTTGCAAATTCAAAACCAATTTGGCTGGAATAAAGCTTTGTAGAAAGTTTAAAAAAAAAAATTGGGCTACAAAGTGAACTCAAGGTCAGCCTGAACTACACAGTGAGACCCTGTCTCAAAAAGACAAAAATTAAAAATAAATAATTGCATAATTTATATGAGAATATTGTTGAGGGAGATAAGAGGTGACTTTGGTAACTTACAGATACATCAAAACCTGTTAACAGCCCCTGGAGTATAACAATCAAGCCAGTTGTTAAAAACCCACTACTCTTTATGGGGGATCCATTCATTTAAAAAGTATTTGTTGGGGCCGGGGAGATGGCTCAGTAGGATAAGCGCTTGACTGGCAAATGCAAGGATCTGAGTTCAATCCCTGGTACCGCCAAAAAAAAAAAAGTATTTGTTAGCTGGGCATGGTGTATGCACTTATAATCCTAGCACTGGGGAGGCGGAGGCAAAAAAAATTATCATGAGTTTAAGGCCAGACAAGGCTACACAGTAAATTCAAGGCCAGCCTAAGCTGCATAGTGAGACCCTGTCCCAAAAACAAAGGATTAACTGTTAGATTCAAGAAACCATTTCTATACAGGCTGAAGACATGCACAAAGTAATATCTATCACATGACAAAAAATATTCTAAAGAATGAGAATGCTAGCCCCACTAAATTAGAAGAGAATGCACAATACCACATGTGCTGTCAATAGCTCTGAAAGACTTCCCTCAAAGTATAGCTCATACCAAAGTACTCTGTTAACACTATCAGCATTTCCTTCCCACCTCTGGACTTTCCCCAGATAAATGCTTCAATCCAGGGTCTCTCTTCTCTGCATGTTATATACATAGTGCTCTCTTACCACTGAGAACATCAAATCTGGTCTCCAGCCCAAACTTATTTTTTCTTTATGTAAGTGCATACTTAATATCTTATCTGGGCTGTCTCAGGCATCTAAAACTTAGCACATAGACCAAGTTATGATTTCCACAGCCCTTCTCCTAAAACAAATGTTTTCCCTTACCCTAAAACAAATGTTTTAACTATTCCCTCTGCTGCAAAGCCAGCAGTTTGATTCTTCAAACTTCTCTCCAAGTGCACACACACATACACAAACTCACACACTGTCCACTAACTCCTGTTAGTTTTTCCTTGACAATATATTTTGTTTTGTTCACTTCTTTGCATCCTAATACCAACACAGCAAAATTTTTTGAGATTTGTGGTACAAAAATTGACAACTGTACTTCTTTTTCTGATCATACAAATTCCTTTCTCCAAAAAGACACCAAATTACAGGTGCCCGTCACCACACCCAGTCTCAATCGCCCTCTTAGTGTGCCCCACAGGCAGGGCCGGCATGGCATCTGGGGGATCAAACCCCAGCCACTGGGCTCGGCCTAAGCAGGTGATTTAGTACGCTGAGCTACCAGGCCAGCCCAAGGTTGTCCTTTTGAGTGTAGTTTGGGCCATATAGAGAGAACCAAACAAGAAAATAGGTGCCTTTCTGACAAGGGCAAGGTCCTAAGTTCAATCCCCAGTACCAAGACAAAAACACAAAACTGTACCTTTTTAAAAGGCGTCCATGGGCTGGAGAGATGGCTCAGTGGTCTAAAGCACCTACTTGGAACAAGCTTGATAAAGCACAGGGACCGCGGTTCGATCCCCCAGCACCACATGCCAGCCAGCTGCGCCCCCTGGTGGGCTGAGCTGGACACACACACACACACACACACACACACCCCAAAATAAATGTTAATAAATAAATAAATTAAAAAAAAAAAAAAAAGGCGTCCATAATTTAACATGCAGCAGATCAACCATGCCAATTCTTTCTCGTGCTACTGAAAATGATAGTAAAGTTGGGGGCAGGGGTGTGCCTTGAGACAGATTATCATTATGTAGCCCAGCCTTGGCCTACAAGTATCCTCCTGCTTCCGCTTCCCAAATGTTCGGATTACAGGCATACAACACCATGCCTGACAACAGTAAAAAATTTAAAAGATTATATTTACGACAAAACAAGTAACAAGGAAGTTAAACAAGATCCAATATTTTGATAAGTATTTGGAATGGAAGACAAAGAAAATGGAGCAGAAATCAACTCAATAAATAGAGCAGAGAAACTCAGACCTATGTGCCAGTAGATGAAAAATACAATTGAGAAAGAATGCAATGCACAGAATGAAAGAAAAACCCTGCTTGACACAGTTCCAGAAGAGCAGCTGCTTATGAGTCAGAATACACAGCAGGAAGCCAACTATCTCTATGCCTGCACACCTCCTCAAAACCTCCATACCTTCTACCTACCCGCCACAGGACTGTACTGAGGGAATTTTGGCAGAGCACAGGGAAGCAGAGACTGAAAAAAGAAAGTTTTACATATTTATATATTCTAATGAAATTGTGCATTATTTTCTAATTTTATCTTATACTATGAGATCATCCCCCAACCCAATTCAGCTCCCATATGTTAACAGATTTCCAGGTAAGAAATAGAAGCCACTTTGCCAGGAAAAGAAAAAGTGCATAGTCCCAAGAGGAAAACGTGGTAGGGAACAATTTCTGCTGAAATCTGGACAATCCTGAAATATTTGAGAAGGCCAATTCCAGGAGTTAGTGGACAGTGTGTGAGTTTGTGCATGTGTGTGTGCACTTGGAGAGAAGTTTGAAGAATCAAACTGCTGGCTTTGCAGCAGAGGGAATAGTTAAAACATTTGCTTTAGGGTAAGGGAAAACATTTGTTTTAGGAGACACACTTAATCATTCCCCATAGAAAGAATGAATTCTACTCACACTTAGCTTCAAATCAGCTCTTTTGTTCTGGTTTCATGTTTCTGTCTTGGCACTGGGGATTGAACTCAGGACCTTGCACTTGCCAGGAAGGCACCTATTTTCTTGTTAGGTTCTCCCTGTATGGCCCAAACTACACTCAAAAGCACAACCTTGGGCCAGCGTGATAGCTCAGCAGACTAAACTGCCTGCTTGGGCAGAGCCCAGGAGCTAGGGTTCAATCCCCTGATGCCATGCCGGCCCTGCCTGCGGGGCACGCTGAGAGAGCAATTTAGACTGAGTGTGGTGGCACACACTTGTAATCCCAGCCTTTGGAGGCTAAAAACAGGAGAATCACTAGGAGTCTGGTCTATGTAGTGAGACCCTATAGACCCTGCCCTAAATACCAAAAAAAAAAAAAAAAAAAAAAAAAAAAAAAAAAAAAAGGAAAGAAAAACAGACCGACAGACCACAACCTTCATGCTTTGGTTTCCCAAGTTCTGAGATTATAAGTGGCCAACACATCTGGCTCAAATCACCTTTTAATGTATCTGTCTTAAATGTCACAAGACAGGTAAGGATCACCAGATAAGTACTTAACAAAAGCTTCCAACATGAAAGGACTTAAACAATAATTCAGAGACAAGAAAAAGAGAAAAGCTAAGGAGAGGAAAAAAAAAAAAAAAAAAGAAGTCAGATACTTACATTTCAGCATAAGAAAAGTTAAAACCAAGAAAGAAAAGGACATGTTTCAGAAAACCAGGACCCAGTACTGGAGAACAGTAACGTTTACTACATTTGTCTCACAAGGACAAGTAAAAAAAAAAAGAAGAAGAAGAAGATAATATCAGAGGGAAGCAAAGACAGATGTCTGACAATTAAAACCACAAGTTTAACATTTTCATTGGAGTATTGGTAGAGAAAAACTTATATGTAGAAACAAAACAAAGAGAAGACAAACACTTCAATTTTTTTGACACAGGATCTCACGTAGTTCAGGTTGGCCTCAAACTCAATGTGATTCTCCTACCTCAACCTCACAAGTACTGGGATTACAGGTGTATGCCACCATGCCCAGCTGAGATGGCCATTATTAACTAAAAATTTTTTAAATTTATATATAATTTTAATTGTATGCTTTTCCGTTTAATGTATATATTTTATATAAAAACATGGTATATTTAACCCAGCAATAAGGCAAAAATGTAAATGCTGGCTACTCAAAAGATATCATTAGGGCCAGGGATATAGTTCAGTGGCACATTGCTTGCCTAGCAAACATAAGCTCCTAGTTTAATTACCAGTAACAAAAAGGGTATCATTATAATAGCGGTATACAGAGAACACATGCTTGTATGAATATATGAGTGAGTACTAGAGCAAAATACAAACCTACAACTTCTCATCTAAAATTTTAAGTTTCAAAAATCTCTTAAAATCTAACATGTTTTTGCTAATATCATATATATATATGATATATATATTTTACTAATATATATATACTAGTAAAAAAGGCTAGAAATATAACTCAGTGGTACTGCTCATGCCTAGCACATAGGAGTATCCCAAGACCACAAAAAAAGAGACAAAGATAAAAATAAAACCTGACCTAAATTTACATGAAACAATACTACTCACTATCTACACACTTAGTGTGACCCATTATATATTTTACTATGCTAGCCTATTTGATCACAGGTTAGGTTACTGTCCAAAACTATAGTGTTATTTGAAACTCCACCAGGGGTATAATGTAATATATAGCAGTCATACCCATTCTACTTTTTTAACTCCAAATACCTCTGATAACTCCATAAAGGTTGTCAGCTAACGGAATGCAGTTTACCTTACCAAGAACTCTACGAAGTCTAAGGTTGATAAATGACTGTCTGTATAAATGTTATTTAAAAATATGACCAAAGCATTAATAGGTGGTTCTGCAATACAAATATTTTTACATCATTTTTTTTTTAATTTTTAAGGTATTACCACATTTGAAATATAGGAACTATATTCATGGGGGGGAAATGATACATGTATCCTAACAAACCTTAATTGTTTTTACTTCCCCTCTTCCTTTCTTCACCACCCACTCCATCTCTTGGTCATCTTCCCATTTACAAAAGATTTTGCTCCATATTTCCTATTATCTTGTATTTTGCTGTTTATTTACATTTTGGATTCTCATAGAAGAAAAAAGATAATATTCAGGTTTGTGTGTCTGATTTAGCTAACTTCACATTATGGTATCAAGGTGCATTCACTTCCCTACATATGACACACATTCCCCCTTCCTCCGATTATCAGACGTTTTTTATTTTTTGTATCCACTCATTCAAAAATCCTCAGTTATTCTTTACCACATGATCTGGAACTTGAAAACGTAAAACCTTTAAAAGTCAGTAAGAAAGCTAAATTCAAGCTCCAAGAAAGTAAGGCAAGCCATTTGTAATATTGTTGCCCAGTATCTCAAGAGAACACTGTGCCACAGGGGATGATGAAAGGAGCTAAAATCCCAGTGTTCAGGAGGCTGACATAGGAGGATCACTGAGTTTGAGGTCAGTCTGAACTACACAGCAAGAATCTGTCTCAAAAAGAAAACAAAAAAAGAACAATGTAGCACATGCTAGCCCAGGGGGAAAAAAAAATCAAAAATCAAAATGACTGTACCTTAAATGTGCACTGTTAGTATACCACCATAAAGTAAAAAATCTGAAAGCTGAATCATAAGCCAGAGGCAATCTGCATAAATCACTTACAAACAATATAAAAGCCTCCATCAAAAATTATAACAATAACAAAAATAAATAAATAAAAATAAAAATTATAACAACACATAAAATAAGCATGCAATATTCAATCTTTTATTTTTCATTTCTTTTTTGGGGGGAAGGTGGAACCGGAAATTGATCTCAGGCCCTTGCGTTTGCCAGGCAAGTGCTTATTCTACTGAGTCATCTCCCCGAACAATATCCACTCTTTACAAAGCCAAAAAGTACAATCAAAGATAAGAAATTTTTTCCTGTCAGACTGACAGATTTAAAAAAGAATCACATGTGGCAGTCATCTGGTCTCCTTGCTTATTTACACTATCAGTGCTTTTACATACATGAGTGATACCAGCACAGCACCAGAGAAGTTGTGAGGTGCCACGATCTCTCTGTAATAGAAAGTAGCTCCCATGATCATGCAAGTTACAACATGAAAATAAGGAGCAAAACCTGTAAAATATGTGCCTTCTCTAACCACTCATCCTCCTCCTCTTTTATCTAAGGAAGAGAGAATCAGTGAAAGACACATGAGTAAGTTAAACAATATCATAACAGAATTTTGAGAAACAATCTAAATTTTTCAAGTTATAAAAATGATAACCCTTCACTGGTGGAGGACTGGTTAATAACTGTTCCATATAATTGAGTATAGCTGACCATTAAATTAATGATTGATATATATCAAAGATGAATCCCAGACTTTCAAAAGTAGACATGGCTATAAAGTATTCTGAAGTCTCCCGTTTTTATAACATATATGCACAAGCACACGTTACATAAACTATATATTTACAAATGTGCTTCTTTGCCTCCTCAGTACTGGTTTTTGTTTTGGGTTTTTTTTTGGTGGAACCAGGGATTGAACTCAGGCCCTTGCGCTTGCCAGGGAAGTGCTTATTCCACTGAGCCATTTCCCTCACCCCTCAGTACTGGTTTTAAAACAAGACCAATGCAATGACCTACATTCCCGGTCTCTTTTTTGTTTTGTTTTGTTTTCTTTTAACTTTAAGACTTCATCTCGCTAAAAAGACCAAGATGTGCCAGAACTTGGCATCCTCCTGTCAGTTTCCCACAGACTGGGATTACAAGTGTACACCATCACACTTAACTATCTGTAGCCTTCCTAAATCAGAAAGTATTATATGCCAAGTTATTCATGATTAACCCAGAGTCACAATTAGAAAATTTTAAACTGTTATACATGTTTTTCCAATTATCAGAATTTTAGATAATAAGCACTCAGTATGTAATTTCAGGACACAGAAAGCAATTCCCAGATTAAATGAACAATGAACATTTTGAGGGCAGTTCCACATTCTCAGTCTCTGTTTACCTCTCACACACAAAAGACCAAAGTAAACATGTTCATTAGCACCAGAGACCTGTCTAAAATTTAAGACTGTCCAGGTTTCCCACATGCCCTTTACAAAGTTTTCTTTATTAAAAAAAGACACAGGAAGAACCTGTCTCAAAAACAAAGTGAAAAAAAAGTTCTGTGACTTCCTGTAAAACTACTGTGTGTGATTTCTTATATGTATATCTCCCCCGATGGGAGGAGGAGAGAGAGAAATAACATTTTGGAGACTGGGTGTGGTGGCACACACCTGTAATCCCAGCGCTTAGAAGGATGAAAACAAGAGAATCACTATGAGTCCAATCCACATAGTGAGATCCTGTAGACCCTGATCTAATACAGAAAAAGAAAAAAAGAACCTCTCCCAATAAAGACTAAGAACTTTGTGATCTCTTCTGCTTACTTTCAAATGCACAGAAATGTCCCCAATATATACCTTTTAAATAAAAATAGCTACTACAAAATGCATGTGTTGCAAGAATGGATTTGTGCATGGAGTGTTTTCATAAGGTTGGGTATATAAATACAAACAGATGATGATGCTGTGAAGTTCAGAATTACTGTTCTAATTAAGTGATAAAACTGACATAAACTGGGAGCCTGCCTCCTCAGAGGACACAATACTCACCTATGCAGAGAAAAAAATGTAGTTATAGAAAATGGGGAGTTTAAAGAAGAATTAAGATGTGGGGGCCAGGGAGATACCTCAGTAGAATAAGCACTTGCCTGGCAAGCGCAATGTCCTGAGTTCAATCACCAGGAAAGGGGGGGGGGGGGAATTAAGATGTGCTTTTTATTTCGTTTTGTTTTTGTATTTTAGGGAAGGGTCTACTGGGTGTTCAGGGTCTCACTACTAGTTCGGACTCATGGTGATCCCTCAGTTTACAGCCTCCCAAGAGCTGGGATTCCAGGCGCACACCACCATGCCCAGTCTCAATTGGCCTCTCAGTGTACCCAGGGGGCATGGGCAGGATGGGGACGGGCCCCGCACAATAGGCAAAGGAAAAAGTGTGTTTGTTATGTGCGTGCCGCATCTCCCTACAATGAATGCCATCATGTATTGTAAACATGCACTAAAAAAATTACAAAGAAAAATAAAAAATTTTAAAGTTATAAATGACAACACATAAAAATAGCATTTAAAAACATTCAGTGCTGGGGAAGGATGATCACTGTGAGATGGAGACCAGCTGGGTGGCAAAATGAGTTCGAGACCAGCTGAAATGCATGGTGAAACCATGACTCAAAAAAATACCTTGTAAGGGCCAGCCTGATAGCTCAGCAGACTAAAGCGCCTGCTTAGACAGAGCATAGTGGCCGGGGACCCTGGCGTGCCATGTTGGCCCCAACCACAGGACCCGCTGAGGGGGAGATTGAGTCTGGGTGTGGTGGTACGCGCCTGTAATCCCACCACCTGGGTGGCTGAATACAAGGGAATCACTATCTACGTAGTGAGAACCTATATACCCTTGTAGACCCTGTCCTAAATACATGGGGAAAAAAAAAAACACCTTGTAGTGTCACTGAATCATTCGAGCATCCTAAATAATGACATCTGTGTAAAATGCAAGGTTGCTAAGAGTAACGTCATAATAACAAAGCATGTTTTCTAAATTGATTGTTGGTGTCCATGAACAATGCAAGGAATAGAAGACACACAAGCATTCTGTGCCTGGCCTCCTAAGTGTGCACATATGCACAGACATGCTCATGGACATATATTCTCTTAGCTCCATGTTGATGGAACTTACCTGATTCACAAGTTCTGGGATGCCCAAAGCTCGGTCAATTGCCTCTAGGCCTGTGGCGTCTGTGTTACTCAAAAGTGTGTGCAGCTGGTCCAACAGAGCTCTTTCATCACTCTGGCCTTCCAAGTTAGAGGGTGACCCAAGTAGATCATCCAGGGAATTCCTAAGAATTGGTCTACAAAGAGACTTACAATCAGTTTTAATAGAATTTAGGCAGATGCTATAATTCAGTGGCTGCAGACTGCTTGCCTAGCACTCGCTCACCTGAGTTGAATGCCCAGAATGCAAAGAAAATAAACATTTTTATAGTGTTTTTTTTTTTTTCTTTTAAAAAAATAAGCGAAAGGACTACACATGTAGCTCAGTGATAGAATGTATGTCTAGCATGAGTGTGATTCCAGGTTGAATTTCCAGTATACCCACCCAAATAAAAGAATTGGGCATAGTGGAACATGCCTATAATGCTCTAATTCCAGCTACTTGGGCAGCTGAGACAGAAGACTTGGGTTGAAAGTTCAAGACCACTTAGACAATTTAGTTAAACCATATTTCAAAATAAAAGCATAAAAAGGAATGGAGATGTAATTCCATGGTAGAGTGCTCGCCTAGTGTATATGAGATCCTGGGAAAATACACTAAGCTAGGCACTGTAGTACATGCTTACTATTCCAGTTACTAAGGAAGCTGCGGCAAGAGAATGGAAAGTTCAAGGTCATTCTGGACAACTCAGCAAAAGCCAAGGGTTAGTTGCACCCCATAACTCTAGTGTAACGTGCACATGTACAAGTACACACACGCACACACACACACGAAAATAATCATGGGCCATATTTAACTTATAATACATAGTAACTCACATAAAACAAAAGAATAAACAAGGTAGTAAACACCAGCAAACCAACATGCATTTAGGATCCATAATTTGAGTATTTCACTAGGCCATTATAGACCAAGATATAACATTTACAGACTCAACCTCACCACCAAAATGTAGCTGCCCAGTGCAAAGTGAGGGACAGCAGACACTGAGAAAAACAGTGCTGTTTTCAAGACAAGAACAGAGGACTAATACTTGAAAAGTAAGGAAATCAAAGGAACAAAAGAAAGCATAGATATGTGAAACTATCAATGATGCGCGGTCTGGGGGCTGGTAAGATGGCTCAGTGGTCTAAAGCACCTACTTAGAACAAGCTAAGCTAAGCAAAGCACAGGGACCACGGTTCAATCCCCCAGCACCACATGCCAGCCAGCCCCGCCCCCTGGTGGGCTGAGCTGGCCACACACACACACACACACACACACACACAATTAAATAAAAAAATAAATAAAATTTTTTAAAAATGATGCGCGGTCTGAAAACTGCCAAATTAAGATTTTGTCTTGTCCCACAAAGTTTATATTAGCAAGTTTAATACAAACTCCAGGGGCTGGGGAGATAGTTCGGTGGCCTAAGTGCCTGTCTGGCAGGCGCAAGGACCCAGGTTCAACCCCCAGTACCACATGCTATGCTGGTCCCCTCGTGCCATGCCAGCCACTGAGACTCGGCATGGTGGTGCATGCCTGTAATCTCAGGGAGGCTGAGACAGGAGGCTCACTCGGAGTCTGAGCAGTGTAGCAAGACCCTGTACCAAATAATAAATGATTTGGGAAAAAAAAAAAAAAAATACAAACTCCACACACAGGGCCAGGGATATAGCTTAGTGCCATAAGTGGCTGCCTGGTGAGCACAAGGTCCTGAGTTCAATCTCCAATACCACCAAAAAACCCTCCACACAGAGTAAGGTGCCATAGTTCTCCAACACATGAAAGCAGTACAAAACAAGATATTTATCCTACCTCAAAAACTTTGTATTAAAAAAGAAAAAAAGTTCTGTGAGCTGAGCAAGGTGGCACATGCTCGTAATCCCAGAACTCAGAAAAGGCTGAGGCAGGATTGTCCCAGTTTGAGGATACATAATGAGTTCAAAACCTTGCACTACAAAGTGAGATCTTGCCTCAAAATAAAATGTGCTGTGAATCTACATGGGGGCTGTACACCCATGATTCCAACTTCGTGGTAGGATAAGGCAGGAGAGTTACAAGGTCAGGCTAGATAATTTAGAGAGAACCTGTCTCAAAATAAAGTTTTTAAAAAAGAGGTAATAATGTACCTTTGGATTCCCTGGGTTAAAACCCCACTTCTAGAGTATGGGAAGGGGTGGGAGAGGTGTATCTATGAACATGAAAACATTTGTTCTCCACCAGGTAAGGAAATATGTACAATAATAAACTCAATCACTGCTTATTCAATTTATTTTCTTAATTTATTTTATTGCAAAATTGAAGTCAGAAGTGACACAGAGAGTGGTCTCTTGCATATAAATTACTAAACCACATCAAACTAAAACATAAGCCAAGTTTGTTAGAACATGCCTATAATTTCAACTTTCAGGATCACAGCCAGTCTGAGCTACATGTATTATTGAGATTCTCTCTCAAATAGTCAAATTATAAAACAAACTGTAGACTTAATTCACAATCTTTCTTTTATAAAGACAAATAGGCTAAACAGTCCACTTCTACTACCATCACTGTAATGTTTTAAATAATTTTAGGCAACAATCCAAGTGCGCAGTCAGCAAAGTGACAACCAAGTACATCAACTACAGAAAATTTTTCTAAATTTATTTCAGGATTCTTTCTTATTCTCTTTTCTGTATTATCCAATGCTAACATTTTCAACAGTCATAAAATAAAGTCTTACCTGTTTTGAGTCCCATGAGGGCCTTGTTCCATGGAGAGCAAGCCATCTGGCCAGGAACCAGGATGGTTAGATGGTACTGCTTGGCCATAGGGATTGACACCCATTCCCATGGGAATCTCACCAGGTTCTGGGTGAGCAAAAAGTAAAGTATTAAGTTTTCAAATAAGCCTATAAGGGGCCAGTGGGATAGCTCAGCCATGTAAAGTGTCTGCTTACGCAAGCATAGGCTGGCACAGGAAACCGCAGTTTGATCCCCGGCACCACATGCATGTTAGCCCTGCCTTCAGGGGAAGCTGAGCCCCCTCCCCAAAAAAGCCTATATAAAAATTGACCCAAAATAATTAATGGGTGTTTTTTGATGAAACATACTCATCTGAGGTTGCTGCTGCTGCTGCTGTAGTTGCTGCTGCTGTTGTAGTTGCTGCTGCTGCTGCTGCTGCTGCAATGTTGGCCTCACACCTGTTATGTTATTTGACCGAAGAGGAAAGGTTGGCATAGTGCTACCCAATGAAGGTCTGGGTAAAGAAGCATTATATTCTCCTCCTGGCCTTCCCATGGAGTTTGAACTCATAGGTTCCATTCTGCTGGCCTTTGAATTCGGTAAACCCCAGTCTCCTGAGTTAGAAGCCTGACTCAGAGTCAAATTTCTGTTTGGCCCACCTAAAACAAGTAAAAATGATTAGTCCTTTGCCATGGCATAATGAAATCTTCCTTAATGCCATTAAGATACTGGCTTTGACAAAGCATCTTGAGAGTGGTCTTTGGCAAATATGATGATAGTTTCAACTGGCCACTATTCTCATATATTGATTACAAGTTAGAAAAAGGTCACAGGCATTCTGTCATAGATATTAAATAACCAAGACAATCTGGAATATTGCTCAATGTCCCAGCACCTGCCTGGCAAGCACAAGGCCTGAGTTTGACCCCCAGTAAAATGAATAAGCGAATGAGTAAGTGAATGACCAAGACATAAAATAAATACCCTTATTTTAAAAAATAGCAGGGCTGGTGAGATGGCTCAGTGCTCTAAAGCACCTACTTAGAACAAGCTCAGAAAAGCACAGGGACCGCGGTTCAATCCCCCAGCACCACATGCCAGCCAGCCCCGCCCCCTGATGGGCTGAGCTGGCCACACACACACACACACACACACACACACATAAAAATTTAAAAATAAATAAATAATAGCATTACATTAATGATATTTTTACATGTTTCCAATTATTTAAATAAGGGCTGGGGAGATGGTTCAGTGGAATAAGTGCTTCCCTGGCATGCGCAAGGGTCTGAGTTCAATCCCCGGTGCCCCCCCCCAAAAGAAAATGGCCGATCATTTAAATAGTTTTAAATACTTCAATTTCTCTTTTCCCCTAAATAATTTTTAAGCAACATATACTAATTAGAAATTAAAAAAAAAAAAAAAAAAAGAAAGAAAGAAAAATAACCTACCTATGTTTGAGCCATAATTTTCCTGATTATCCACCATTCTTGGGGTCCCACCCAACATGGGTTGCTTTGGTAACATGGGAAAAGCACTGATATTCTTCATTGGAGGACTTGAGCCAACAGTAATAGGGCTATCTAATGACACTGCTCGGTTATATGGTGGACGAACAGGCTGCACAGATTGTGGACTTCTAACACCAGCTGAAAACAAAGAAGCAAACTATACATAAATGTCCTGACTCAATACATAACTGAACAAGTCCCCTGTAATCCCAGCACTTGAGCAACTGAGATAGGAGGCTCACAAGTAAAGGCCACCCTGGGTTACATATTGGGCTCAAGACTAACCTTAAATATATAGAAAGACCCAGTCTCAAAAAACAAAACAACAATAAAACATATGAGGGTCAGCAAGATAGCTCAAGCACAGAGACCCAGGTTTAATCCCTGGTACAACATGGTGTGCCTGCCCTACCACCAGGAGCACTGAGCTGGCCACCACGACCAGGCATGGTGGCACATTGCAATCCCAGTGCACATTGCAATCCCGAGTCTTGAGCGGCATAGCGAGCGCCTATACTGATTGATCAATCAATCAATCAATCAATCCTAAATACCCATGCATTCCAAATAAACTAGAAACAACAATCTTAATGTTGGCTGGAAATCTTTGGCATTATTCTATGACCTGGTGTGGGTCATTCATATTTTGATTCATTACAAACTAAAAAACTGACCAGATTGAGGATATAACTCAGTGGTACGGTGCATGCTTAGCCTGCATGAGGCGGAGGATTCAACATCCAGCACCACAAAAAAAAAAGAAGGGATGGGCTGGGGGAGAGGAGAAAAGGAGAAAATTTCACCAATAATTTACTGTTTCATACTCCTGGAGGTTCTTACATGCATGTACTTATTAATGCACATTCTATGACTCATAATAAATACAACCAAATAATCTGCCTTCTAAAAAAGTAAGAAACAAAATACACAATTCCTGAGGGCCATGGTGGCATAAGCCATTAAATCCAGCTCAGGAAGATAAGCCAGGAAGATCTCTATAAGTCTGAGGCCAGCCTGAATTATATAGTGAGTACCTGTCTCAAAAAAAAAGAGAGGCGGAGGTGTGGGTCAACACAAGGTCAATCTGTTTGATTAATCTAACTATCATTTCAGTTTAGAAAAACAATGCCACTGAACATCAAGAATCATCTTTATGTGTAATTATAAATCATTCTTTTTCAATTGATAGCAAAAATATCTCCTTGAAATGGTCTTGATTAAACACAAAAGAAATACAGAAGAACTTAGCTAAGAACCAGAGGACAAGTTTTGACCTATCATCTGGCCTGTTTCTCAATTCAACTCTCTGTGGCTAAAAAAAGTCCTAGCAACTACTATATGTAAAATAATCAAAAATTAACATTCTCCTGAAAGCACCATGGCTACTGGCACAATAATTTTTATGGGGAAAAAAAAAAAACAAACCTTAAAAACACACATACTAAAAAGGCTGGGCATGGTGGCACATACCTGTAATCCCAGCACTCAGGAGGCTGAGGAAAGAGGGTTGTTGTCAAGACAAGCATGGGCTACAAAGCCAGATCAATGCCAGCCTAAACAGCAAAGCAAGACCCTGTCTCAAAATGTGACCAAAAAATAAAAAATAAAAATAAAAAAGAACATATATACTATGAATTAGCATGAAAAACTGAAAGGCTGAGTGTGTTTTCTCTAAGTTAAAAATAGTAGTTATACCTTGGTCTTGGTATAAGAACAATACAAGTATGCGGAAAAGTTTCAAATAAAACAATCTGGCTTGACCTTACCCAGAGAATTAGTTCCTTGAAACATTTGTTGCTTGCTCCCCAGATGACCGCCATTTGTGGATACAGGATTACTGTAAAAGTCAGAACTAGTCAGATCACCAAGAATAGCATCTAGATTATCCAAGTCTCCAGGTCCCTGAAAATGAAAGTTTAAAACTTAATCTAGGTACTAAAGTAGATATACCCCATAAACACATTCATCAGAATATATGAAGAGGAAACAAACAAAATACAAGAGTTACCTGAAATGACAATGTCGAATATAATGCCTGTTTACTTATAACTCTCATCCCTAATATTCCTCTTTAGAATGAACACTTTTTAAATCACTGAATTTGATGCTTTTAAAAGGGCATTTTTGGGGGCCCAGGAGATGGCTCAGTAGAATAAGCGCTTCCCTGGCAAGTGCAAGGGCAGGAGTTCAATCCCTGGCTCCACCAAAAAAAAATCTAAATCTGAAAAGGGCATTTTTGGGCTGGAGATGTGGTTCAGTGGTAGATTTCTTGCTTTGCCTGCACAAGGATTCCCCAGCACCATTAAAAAAGGGGGGGGGGTGTCTTTTTTTTACTTATATTAGTTTTGTTTGTTGGGGGAGGGGGGTTAGTACCAGGGACTGAACTCAGTACCTTGTGATTGCCAGGCAAGCGCTTATTCTACTGAGCTATGTCTCTGGCCCCCACATTTATATTAGTTTTAACCTATGGATATTTTCCAGAGGAAAAAAAATTAAAAGCAAAATAAAAAGATTTAAAATGAATACTTTCCAGCTAAAAATCACTAGCAGGGCTGGTGAGATGGCTCAGTGGTCTGGAGTACCTACTTAGAACAAACTAAGCCAAGCAGCGCACAGGGACCGCGGTTCAATCCCCCAGCACCACATGCCAGCCAGCCCACCCCCTGGTGGGCTGAGCTGGTCACACAC